CCCCCCTTTAAAAATGGATCATACGAGTGTCTGCAAATAGTAATCTATAGCTGTTTTATATCCATCAGGATAATTAAGTTGGACAGCGTTGCAAAATGAAGACGAGAATGGAAATGCCAAGAAAAGCAAGTGGGATTTGACCGACTGGAAGGAACTCTTTAGATCAGTTAGAATGCTGTGCATGTTGCAGCCATGACTTTTACTCAAAAACATCATTTTTATTATTTATTTATTTTTTAAAACAGACAGGGGCCACCCATTACACAACATTGAGTCATCACGTCTATTCAACCAAAACGAACCGAGCATGAAACAGGTTACACTATGGAACCAACTAGATTACATTCAGTGTACATTATACTGGAGAAAATAGAAAGAAATAAAGAAAGGAAGAAAGAAAGAAAGAAAGGAAGGAAGGAAGGAAGGAAGGAAGGAAGAAAGAAAGAAAGAAAGAAAGAAAGAAAGAAAAAGAAAACTGAGTTTGAGCAATCTAAAGGATATTCTCATCATGTAATCCATCATATATGTTAAAAGTTCAGGTCGAGTTTTATGAAAATAAACAAAGATTCAAATAATTAATCTTAGACTACTCACCAAGATCACAATATTGATAAATAAGAGCGTGTTTTTGATAGATATGGTTTGTTTGTCTAATGAAAGTGACAAAGTCAATGTTAGATTCGTTTTCCATGCCAAGTACCCTTTGGTTGTTTATGTAGGTGTTTCTTTTTGAGAAGCAATTATCATTAACTACTTGGTGACTGACCAGTATAGTATAACCATTATAACTGAAGTATAATTATAATTATAGCTAAATAAATTTTTTTATTGCATAGTAATTTAAATGATCATAAGCATTGTTCTATTATACACTGTAGAAATGAATAAAATTACAAATGCATGCACCTAGCTAAACAAATGACATTTAAATAATATCTATATACACTGAGGTCCAAATGTCTGAGACCACTAATGAAAAATTCTTCTTTTTTTATCCTTTTCATGTCTTACTCATATAAATATTTAATATTCGTTTTAATAAAATAATTAAATGAAACCCTTGCCATATTTTTATGTTGTTAGAATTTTGGACATTTAGTAAATATTATGTTTTAATCAAATAAAACAAAAAAAATGTGTGAAAATATTTTTTTTCTGCAACAAATTTAATTCCCATCAACTTTGCTTAAAGGTTACCAAAAAAAAAAAAAAACTCTCAATCATCTATAGCAGCTTGTACAGGGAGTGATGCACAGGGAACAAGCTTATGCTTTTAGAAACCATTAGAAAGCCGTGCTGATATCTGGCAGGACAGTTAAAGCTTAGCCCATAATAGGAGGATAGATCCTCCTCGCTCTTCCTTCAAGCACTCCCAGGGGTCTGCCTGACTTCCTGTCATTAAAGAGACAGCGCGCCCGACTACCATCTGGGTGACTGACAACCCGGTATCAGCACGACGTGTGGAGTCCACCTGAACATCTGCGAAATCAGCCAGACTCTGCTCGAGCGAGACTCCCCTACCAGGTGGTTACGTCGTGCAGTGCGAGTAGACAGTGGCTGAACAGAGCAATCTGTGTTGATGTAAATCATGTTTCTGACAGCTAAAGTGGCCAAGGTAATGCTTTTAATAAGACAGGTCTGTTATTGTAAAGCTCGTACTCTGCCTTGTTGCAAAACTCGTAGTGCAGTGACCATAAAACACTTCCTTACAATCTGGCATCTGAACATCAACCAAGAACGCAGTTCAGAAAAAAAAAAAACCTTTTGAGAAGTTTCACTGCTGTCTAAACAGTTTTAGATGACAACCGGACAGCCGAAGTGCTCAGCGTCAAGAACAGTGCTGATCCCTGTCGGCTTTAGACTCGCAAACAGCTGTGACATGCACATCCAAGTATTAGTTTTCACACACCAAACTTTGCACTTCAGACTTTAAAAACACTATTATCTCTCCTCTCCGCTGCTCTACTGACTCTATTGAAGAACAGCTGTGCATTCGCTCCTCTCAGCTTACGCAAACTACTACATAATTTTGTATACAGAAATTGTGATAATTGTGCGATCATCCATTGTGCAACTTAAAAGAACTCACCTTTTGTAACCACTGCGTATAGTTCTCCATGACATGCTCCAGCTGCTGGATCTTCTGGTTGGAGAAGTCCGCTTCAGGTTGAGGTGCGTCCCGCTGAAGTGCGTTGGCATTGTACGGCGTGCCCGCTTTAAACTCTCGACAAGAGCCTCCATCACCCTCCGGAAGGATAAAAGTGTAGCTACACTGTCCGTGTTGGATCCGGTGATATTTCCGACCGCTGCTGCTGTTGGCTTTTGCCGTGGAGCTTCTGAGTCCTTCTTCTGCTCCTCTTCTTTGCTCAGCCCCTCCGCAGTCTGCTACCACCAGCAGCGCTGCCAGGGACAAGCAGCGGCACACAAACCAACCCCACCACATGGCAGGAGCTGGAGGGGAGGGTGAGGTCACGAATATCAAAGTGTGTTTAAGGGGTGCTGTCGGTTCCTTTAGTCCAAAGTCAGGTGGAATCAGTATGAGCAGAGATGTACGGATGACCTGGGGCACGTGGTGATCACGTCCGGACTGGACTGTTGCCTGGAGGTCATTATTGATCCAGTCACCCGCTCACAATACACTTCCTGCCTTTATATCAAGTTGGTCTTCTGGGGAAAAACTGAAGTCTTGAGAAACTGTGGCTGGAAGTGCATGCGAAATGCAGCTGTGCAGTTATGAGGAAAGCAAGACAGCGTCCATGAAGATGTAGTCTGGAATGTTGTCAGACCTGCCCTGGCGCTCTCTCTCTCTTTCTCTCTCTCTCTAGGTTTCCTCTGTGTATGACCGTGCAACTGAATGACTTTGCTCTGGGCTTCTAGCATGCTCTGAGCCTGCCCCTCGCAGTGACTGGAGAGGAATGTGTGTGCGTATGCGTGTGTGTGTGTGTGAGAGAGAGAGAAAGAGAGAGAGAGAGGGAGAGAGAGTGAAAAGGAAAGTGAAGCATAGCAGGACCCCAGCGAAGAGGATGTTCTCAGTGCTTGAAGATCATTTTACAAGCTTTCTGACCCTATGTTTGTGTAGTAGTCCTGCCTCCAGTATACAGAACATTCAGTAACGTACTGTACACACACGGACACATCCACCTGATGACATTTCACTATATACTGTACATTTTTTCACATAAAAGAAACCAGAGTTCACACAAAAGTTAAAATTCTGGCATCATTTACTAATTCTCATGTCTCCATACATATCCATATGACCTTCTTCATGCTGTGGAACACAAAAAGAGATGTTCAGCAGAAAGTCCATGCAGCACTTAAATAAAAGTGATTGATGACCATGGCTGTCAAGGTATTTTGCGAGAATAAAACACCTGATTTTGATATAAATATATGAAATATCATATCATATCTCATATAAAAGTAATATATGGCCTAAAGAAGATTTGGAATACAGTGCATGAGTCTCATGGATTGTCTTTTATGGTACTTATACAGGTGCATCTCAATAAATTAGAATGTCGTGGAAAAGTTCATTTATTTCAGTAATTCAACTCAAATTGTGAAACTCGTGTATTAAATAAATTCAATGCACACAGACTGAAGTAGTTTAAGTCTTTGGTTCTTTTAATTGTGATGATTTTGGCTCACATTTAACAAAAACCCACCAATTCACTATCTCAACAAATTAGAATATGGTGACATGCCAATCAGCTAATCAACTCAAAACACCTGCAAAGGTTTCCTGAGCCTTCAAAATGGTCTCTCAGTTTGGTTCACTAGGATACACAATCATGGGGAAGACTGCTGATCTGACAGTTGTCCAGAAGACAATCATTGACACCCTTCACAAGGAGGGTAAGCCACAAACATTCATTGCCAAAGAAGCTGGCTGTTCACAGAGTGCTGTATCCAAGCATGTTAACAGAAAGTTGAGTGGAAGGAAAAAGTGTGGAAGAAAAAGATGC